TTGAATGTGTTATTTATAGCAATAGAATTTTTTTTCTTTTAAAAACATAACTATTTATAATACTCCCTAAATAATAAATTATAGTAATGGAGTTAGTAAAGTTAGTATAGTAAAGTTTTCCCCAAAACTTTGTCTTCAAAATAAGGGTGCGTCTTATATTCCGAAAAATACGGTAGTTCTTTTCTGATATAGATTAAAATGACGCATCTCCAGCTTGAGAGAAAATTATTTTTCAGGCTCAACGTTCGGCATTTAAGAGGTCCGCCCGCAATAGAAAACACAAAAATTGAACAGTTTGTTTGTTTGAATTTCGCGCAAAGCTCCACGAAGGTTATCTGCGCTAGCCGTCCCTAATTTAGCAGTGTAAGACTAGAGGGAGGGCAGCTAGTCATCACCAACTCTTGGGCTACTCTTTTAACAACGATAGTGGGATTAATCGTAACATTATAACGCCCCCACGGCTGAAAGGGCGTGTGAAAGTGTGACGGGGATTCGAACCCGCGCCCCTCAGAATGCGAGTCGAGCGCCCTGGTTACCTGGCCATGCCGGGCCCAAAAAGTGAAACTGTACAATTCAAATTCAAGGGAACAACGAACAAAAATCACCGCATTTCCACGAGAGGGACCAGTGATAAGCACAAAACAAACAAACAAAAATTATAACAACATTCATATAAAAAAGAATCACTCAAAGTATATATAGCATTTTGATAACAAGCACAAAAAATGTACTAAAATAAAATTTTAATTAGGACTAAATAACTAAGACGCTGCACAGTTGCAAGTAACTTTAGAAATCAACAGTTTACACTAACTAATTAAAATATCCATGCACTAATTATATCTACTAATTTCTGGATTTGCCCCTAGTGGTTCAGCAATAAGTCTGAATAGGAGTAACGCTAAAACTGGGTTTCTATATCAGTAGTGGGCACAACACAGATAGCCAATTGTGTAGCTGTGCGCTTAACAACAAACAAACAAATGTCTAGCTTTACTTCTTTACTTCTTTAAGATAATACTATAAACTTTCTAACCAGAAAATCTTCGATTTTTGCAAAAAAAATGATAAGTTTACGCAATAATACAGAACTGGCGTGCTTTGATGTGATATATTATGACCTTCAACTGTGTTTTCTCTGTGTCCGTTCGCTTGTCAGATGTTTTATGTGTGTTTACAGAAGCGCCCCATAAAATTGTCGGTCAGCTTTGCAGCCACAGGTGGCGCCACATTCTTCATAGCACTCCCTTATGAAAGATAGAACCAAAGGTTAAGGACGTTAAGGTTAAGGTTCAAACTTAACCACGTTCGAAATGTTCTTCTCCTCTCCTGCAACTTCAAGTCCCGGATACCAGAATTTTGTGACTTACCGAAGCCTCATCTGCTTATATATTATCTTTTATCGCCGATTTTAGTTTACCCATAGAAAGTTTTGCCATAGTTAATAGCATAATAATGCTTAATCACTTGCATAGCATTTAGGACTTCTTACATAAGTTTTAGACGCTCTTGTTTAGCTTTGACGTAATTTTACTGTATGTTTCAATATTCATTTAGGAAAATAAGATTATTACAGAACTTCTGAGACAACACTTCAACAAAATTAACTTTTTTGGCCTAAAGGCAAACAATGTTGAAGCAGTCTTAGATGTGTTTAAGTAAACAGTTACTTCAGGTTTGTAAATGTTTTTTTGTTTTTTAACAATTAAAAATATTGTTAAGGGTAATAGGGTCCTATTAATAATTAAATTCGTTTTTATACACGGTCTAGAACAAAGGGTTTGGAGTTTTATGACATAAAGTAAATCTTGTTTAGTCATAACGATAAAATGTAAAACACACGGCACAAAAACAAAACAAATAGCAAGAATAACTATGAAATGGAAAAAAAAATCCAATCGTAGGTACAAATTTATACACAAGATCAGTTTAGTCATTTTACTCATCCCCAACGCCACCGTTCAACGTGAAAGGCAGAGAACGGAAATAAACACGTTTCAAACATTACTAACTCCAAATACCAAAGTGAAAGTAAAAGACGGGCAACAGTCAGTTGAGCGTCACAAATTTATTGATTAAAAATGGCGGGGAGTTAAAAACAATGCTTAATGTAAAAGCTAATTGAAATAAATCCCTTACTACGAATGCTGCGCAAACTATAAGTCTAGTCTGGAAAAGCATGTTAGTCTGCTGTTCTTCTCTAAAGCTTCAGCCAATTTGCAAGAGCTCCTTCCCCCACCACGCCCATCAGCCAAGTCATTCCCTCCTAATATCAACATGGCCAAATATCCAGTCAGACAGAATAACAAAACATTTCGAGAATAATGTGGTCAGAATGTGAGATATGACTGCCAGCAAGGAACCAAGCGGGTTAATGGTATATTGACTGTCATATTAGCCCCTACGTGATCTAAAGCAAGAAATATTGATTAAAAATTGTGTAGTGAACGTAAAAGCTGAAAATCAGTCAAAGAGTCCCATAGAAAATGACAAAAGCACCACAAACCACGGATGATCTAGCCAAGTCATTTAATTTGGAGTCCTAAGATGAAGGATGGATGGCTCGAATGGTGTTCATGAAGAAAAAGTTAGAATTTTCAGTAAGGTGTATTCGATTTGTTTCACTCTCTCAAAGAAATGTCACAGATGGAAATAGTAACCAGACGTAAGTTGTCTATCCAACATGGCAAAACAATGAAGGAAGGAAACAGATAAAGAGAGTGGTCATAGTAATAACCAGAAATGGAAGTGTATCGGAGCACTAGGATTCAAGAAGGAGAGACTATCATTCAAAATCAATCACTTAAGTTACAAAATAAATGTACAAAGTGTCCACCACTGTTGTCATTTCACGACCGACAATTATTGAAAACTGACATTTAATTGGATTATAACCTTCATATCTTTATTGAGCGTTTGTTATGCCTCACGCTGGGTGCGAGATTATTCCTCACGTCCTTTATTAAAACAGAGTATATAAATTCATTAAGGAGCTCAACTGTACTATGCCGCACCACATAATTATACTAAATGTACTTCCGCAGGGTTCCCGAAAGTGTTTTGTCTCAAGAGTAAGTAAAACCAAATTAAGAGTAATAAATATTTTTACTTCTTGGTTTTGAAGTTCATGTCTCGTGTTATATTGTAGCATGCGCACGTTTTACTGACGTCACGACAGTACAAGTTGCAGCATTAACGGCCCTTTTGTGACGTCATCTTAGTATATACTTGCCGACTCGACTGACAAAACACTACTGTATAATAGTGCGGATGGTTAAACCAAGTGAACCCTCGAGATGGTCATCGGCCCCCTTTCGGAGAAATTAGAAAATGTTAGTATTTTAATACTTAGCACTAACGACTTCATTTATAATTAAAAATAACATTTATTAACTTTCTTAAATACAGTCACGTTTAACCACAATTAAGACATCATACTGTGAAATAGAAGAGGGTTATAAATTATTGTTATTTATATAGTTTTT